GAAGATGGAGAAGAGAAAATTCCCATGAGCCTGTGATACCTTAATATAAATACTGAGTCAGTCAAGGATGAGTGGGAAACAGAGATTTTGGTAGAAGGAAACAGATATGTAAAGGGGATAGGCCCAGGCACTTGACTGATACTGCAGTGATTCTAATGCCTGTGGTAACCCAGGACTGTTCATCATGAAATACAGTATCAGCAGCCTGATTTGTAAGGAGAATTACAAGATCACTGTAAAGAGTATCAAGAAGTTAAATGAAATTTTAAAAATTTAAAATCATAACTTTTTATTGGTAAGGGTTTTTTTCTTTATTGAAATGGTGGCAATAATACAGCTGTGTCTTAATTTTTAAGTGCTTTTAAAGAGATGGGGTCCTTTGGGCTGGGGATTTAGCTTAGTGGTTCCAGTGCCTGCCTCTCAACCGCAAGGACCCGAGTTCAATCCCCAGTACCAGAAAACAAACAAAGAGATGGGGTCCAAATAATGGGCATGGTGGCACAAGCCTGTGATCCTAGCATTTGAGAGGCTAAGGCAGGAGGATTGCCATGAGCTCAAGGCCAGCCTGGGCTATACAGTGAGTTCAAGACCAGACTGCACAACATGGAGAAACTCTTTCAAAAAACAAACAGTCGGTCGTGGTGGCGCATGCCTGTAATCCCAGCACTTGGGAGGCTGAGGCAGGAGGATCACTGTGTTTGAGACCAGCCTGGGCTACATAGTGAGTTCCAGGTCAGTCCCAACTACATAGGGAGACCCTGTCTCAAAACACCAAAAAACAAAAACAAAACAAAACAAACAAGTAAACAAAGAGAGACTGGTATCTCATTATATTGCCAGGCTGGCCCAAAATTCCTGGGCTCAAGTGACCTTCCTGACTTAGGTGTGCTCCACTGTGCCCAGCTTATGTGTCTTAATTCAATGCTTTTATTTACAAAACTTAAAAAATTTTTTTTGGTAATTTTAAGTTAGCTGTGCAGTTTAAATTCTTTTTCCTTGTCTACAATATGCAGGAATTGAGCAATTACTGCTTGAGAGGAGCAGGCATCAAAAGCACTAGCAAGCTGAGGATGCAGCCCAGTTCTTAGTCTGCTCACAGCCCTGGCTTCCACACCCAACACTACCAAAATGAAAATAAGAGTACTAGTAGAGCAGAATTCCCTAAAAAGCTTAAAATATATGTGTGTACACTGGTTTCTTTAGTTCCCTGCAGCCTTGGAGATTTAGAAATGTTGAGTTTGAGCTCTTTTTAATAAAGTTCTTAGTTGATTTTGAAAAGTATCCTAATTTGGGAGCAACTATTGCAGTCCATCAGTGGTGGACAAATACATGTCAAATGAACTCAAGGACACTGCTCACTCAGATAAAGTCACAGATAGGAACAGGAACTTTGCTCCCCCCCCAACAAAGAAATGCACATATCTTAAGTGGACGTGGAAGATAAATGTTTAGGAGAATCTGACTTAAGAGAGCCGAGCTCGGTGGGGTGCACCTGTTACCTCGGATACTTGAGAGGCTGATGCAGGAGGATCATAAGTTTGAGGCCAGTGCAGTCAATTTACCAAGAACCTGCCTCAAAATTAAAAATAAAAAAAGGGATGCAGCTGTAGCTCAGTGGCAGACCAATCCTGGGTTGGCTTCTCCATTCTGCCTAAAACAAAATAAGAAAGCTTTGATTATTTTAGGGCCTTTTACCTTTAGGCACAAAAAAATAATAAAATGCAAACAAAACACTTTTAAGCCTTGGTCAATAATATGAACATATTGAGGAGGAAAAATTAACACTTGAGAATTACAAGATTAGGTAAGTTCCCAAATGTCATTTAGTAAAAAGAGACAAACCTTTTCAAGTTGCAAGCACTGATAAAAGGAATAATCAACTTTTTTTTTTTTTTTTTTTGGTTCTGGGGATCAAACTCGGGACCCTGTGCTTGTGAGGCAAGTGGCAGCACCATTAAGCCAAATCCCCAGCCCGAATTTTTATTAATAATATTTCAAGATGTGAAAATGCAAATAAACTTTCTTCAGGACTTACCTAATTTTATTTCATATTTACTTATTTATTTATTTATTTACGGGACCAGGTTTTAAACTCAGGTCCTTGTGCTTGTGAGGCAGGCACCAGAAACACTGAGCTAAACTCCCAGCCCCTAACTTACCTAATTTTAGATTGAAGACCCTCTAAATCATTTTCCTTGACACCTCCCCATGAATTTGATGTCACTGTAAAATATACATTTCCCAAAGCATTGCTCTGAATTCAGATAATTTCACTCGGTTTTTTCTGGTAGGTTTATAGACATTTAGAGATTCCCGAGTCCAAGCCGCTGATTTTGAACTTACCCAACTCACCCATGGCTGTAGAACAGAACTGAAATTTACCAGTCACTTGATACTGTTTCCATATACACTTTCATATAAATTTGTACTTAGTAATACTATACTTTGCTTTACCCTCTCCTGCCCATTATATTTAAGGCCTCTTGTGCTTTTCACTTTTTTACATTCATCTTTATTTGATTTGTATTTATTATGGTACCAGATATTGAACTCAGATCCTTCACACTGAGCTCCATCCCCAGCTTTTTTTTTTTTTCTTTTTTTCTTGGAGACAAGATCTCACTAAATTGGTAAAAGGCTGGGCTCAAACTTACAGTTCTCCTGCCTCAGCCTCCAGGAGGCTGCGATTGCAGTCATTAGCACCACGTCTGGCTTGTACTTTCATGTTTCATTGAGTATAAATTGGTGAAGTGAGATAGGCTATGATTTTCACACTTGACAGAGAAGAGAGTCCCAAGCGAAGAAGGAACTTGCCCATTATTACATAGTTGTATTAGATAGCTCCAGGTACTAGAAACAAAATACCTTACACAGTGTGTCCCAGACAACAGGAATTCATTTCTCACAGTTCTGAAGGCGGTGGAGTCCAGGATCAAGGTGCCAATTGGGTTCTTCAGTGATATCCCTTTCTTGGCCTGCAGAAAAGGGAAGGAAAGAGGAGGGCAGGGAAGAGGAGGGAAAAACGGGAGGGCCAGCACTCTGGAGTCCCTGTCTCTTTGTACTTAGTAGGGCACTAATCCTGTTAGAAGGGCAGCCATTTCCATTACTTTATCTAAACCTAATTACCCCCCTATCCCCCTTCACAAATACAATCACTTTGGGGGTTAGGCTTTGAAAGTACAAATTTGGCAATTCCAGAACCAGGACTGGAAGCCAGGACAACTGGCTTCAGTAACACTGAACAAACATTTGTTGACGCCTCCTCCATTGCCACATGTGGCATATGAGAAGTATAAAAATGACTAGGAGAGTAGGTGCCAGAATGGAAAAAGTCCTCAGATTCAAAAGTGGGTGACATGATAAGAAACTACAGTGTGTTTAAATTACACAATTGTTATAGTAAAAAAAACACATGGACATGAATCCCCTCAAAAATATTTCCCCTTGAGCCAGGGATTTAGCTCAGTGGCACCGGGCCTGCCTAGCAAACGCAAAGGCTTGAGTTCCATCCCCAGTAACTCCCCCACCAAAAAATTTCCCCTCATTTTAAATGCACTTATCCCATAGTTCTTGTCACTTTCTGAAGCACTTCTGGAAGTTCTCTTTCAGGAGTATCTTTGCAAGGTGTGATAGGGCAAACCCTACTTCCTGCTGAGTGCCATCCAATGGAAAGTCAGGCTTGTAAAATATCATAGTGTCCCCTTATCCATCTTATATGCTGGACTTGTCCTCAAGTGACTTCTGGCTCCCCCAAAGTAAAAATGACCACGTAAGGTAAACGTTTTAAATCGATTCAGGATACCAAGGCAGCCAAGACAGAGCCACTAAAAACACTCAAGAAAGAGGACTTCCAGACCTGCTCTAGGAAGTGGCTGTGTTCCAAGCAAGAGGGAGTGTTCAAGAGGGGATGGTGGCAACGCACCTTTTACTATAGTAAATATTTGTTTAAATATGTACGGTATTTTTTTTAAATCACACCGTGGAATTGCTTAGAGAGAGTGAAAACGTTCCCAACAGGCAGGTATCAGAGAAGGGCACGGTAGGTACAGGGACCGCTCAGGAAGGGTTGTGCCATGGAAAGGTGCCTGCCTGCCGTAGTCTCTGGAATGAGGCAGAGCCAGTTTAACCACAGGGAGCGCTCACGTGGATATCCTCATCGCCCACTCTGTGCCCTCAGGGACAGGGTACAGACCCTGCTCTCTTTTATTCGACACTGAGGAGCCTAGTCCAGGTCTCTGCACAAGTGGGTACAGAAAGCACAGGCTACTGAAAGGAAACAAAGCTGGAGAAGACTCTCGAAGGCGAGGCGGGTGGCAGAGTAAAATGGGGCAGCAGAACGTTTGCCCAGTGAGTGGAATGCAGTCGAGCGACAAAGCAAACAAGGCAGGTGTCTGACTGATGTGAGGGTGAAGAAGAATCCAGGATCTTTCCCAAACCCAGGAGGCGTTAGGGGCACTGGTCTCGGCCGGCCCTGCACGCCGCCGCCAGCGCAGGCGG